GTCATTATTCCTTATTTACTTCTTATTTTTCCTTTATCTTACTTCTTCTTTGTTTTCGTTTTAGGATTTTCGTTCTTGTTTCTATCAGATGAATTTCAGAGTTTATGCATCTGGAGAGTTGAACTGCTGACTTCTCGTGGCGAAGTCCGGCGAGCGATTGGTGACAATTCCCCACTTATTCTATGGCTTTGCCCTGCTGTGATTATCCTACAGATAGGTGGGTGGAGCTTTGCTTCGCTTCAAACTCATTACTGATATTTCCTGAAGGGGACTCATTCATAGCGGTCTAGGCGGAGAGACAAAGTCTCCCTTCAGGTAGGGGACGAGGGAAGGGTGAGGGGAACCTTTTATGTTCATGATGCGCATCAGCAAACTTCTCGTCGTAGAGTGTCCTCATCAATGGAGTGTCTATTCCTGTGCATCAATAAGCAGAAGCATGCCCTTTTCTCGTGCCACTCTCAGAATATGAATAAGATAATTATCCATAGATAGCTCGAGTTCGGGAGCTTACAGTAGTTGCACCAGTCGGGAGGTGCTACCTAGTTTATTCGGTAGAAAAAATAATGGACACTTTTTCTAGAGGCAGTAACAAGATCCATGCTGAACAAAAGTAGCGCTGTTGGTCATTCTTAAAGGGTAGCTCTCATCTCAAAGCAGGTGGCACGATAACTTAGATGTTGCAGAAGGGTGAATGCGCCCCTTAGAGAAGGTGGATTTGATACCTGAGGGAACGAATCGTGGTGCTTTTATGGCTGGCCATGCCCCCGTAGGGACGTAATAAGGTTTTGTCCGTCTTTCTGGACGCTCTCGTGCCTCAGCTCACCTCCGATGCCTACTGTTCCCTGGGCGTCGTACACCAGGCCTTTTAGAAGGGAGGCAAACCAAGCCGCTTCTGTTGGATGAAGTGCGTTGATGCCTAGCTACCTCGGAACTCAATTTGGAAGACACTTTCAGTTTTCAGGGTTTCCTTTTTCTTTTAGGGTTCACGCCGTTTCTCTTTTTGTTTTTTCTGCGCTACCGCATTTACTACCCATCTTTCATCTACAACCACGTCCAATTCATCCTACTTCATCCCTCTGAGTGTGTGTAGCGCCGCTTAAGCTCTCTCACCTCTTGCAGGGGTACCCTTTCGGAAAACCTTTCATAAATAATTTAGTAAGCCTCATTGCAGTGATATCAAGTGAGTGGGCTGTCTTCGAGTCTTCAACCGAGATGACTTACGTGGTTTCGTCCCGACATGGAAATGCGTGGAGATGTGCGCCCGGTGACGATGTGAGTCTTTATTGTTGGACTTTTCGGCCCTCCCTTGCAAACAGAAAGTGCAAAAACGTTTTATTGTGCACGCTGTACTCTTTCTAGCGAAAGGGAAGGCATCGCTGTAGAACTACTGACACTTACGATGGGAACTATGCAGAGATAAACATTGAATTCAGCAACGCAGGTTCGAATCTCGTCGGAACCTAGGATTTTGCAAGTACTGTTCTGAGTGGAAATTCCTGCGTCAAAGGGTCGCGCTAGGAATTGATCACACTTCATTATGAGAGCTTTCACGGGCGGAGACTTGTCGTTGGTTCCGTAGTGTAGCGGTTAACACCCTGGACTTTGAATCCAGTAACGCGAGTTCGAATCTCGCCGGAACCTAGGATTTTGCAAATGGCGTTCTGATCATAAATTCGTGCTCCATAACTGTGATGCACCAATTTTTGATAAGTGCGAGCCTGCAGTCGCTAGAATTTCCATACACATGGCCAGCTTCTTTCATCTGCTTTCCAATAATTTCCTGTGTTTTCTGACTCGCCCAATTCCATTTTGATTAGTAATGTGTCAATGACAGTGTTCTTCCTACTTGATCAGGTCGTGGGTCGGTATACTTAAGTTCTCTTGTACGTGAACTTTAGTTTATATGAAAAACAGCGGTTACGTCAACAACGGGCAAAATTCCGAATTATGATACGTTCGCGCCCTGCGGCTTTTCATTGAATTCAGCTGTCAGAAGCGGAAATCCCTTCCAGTGAGGGATGAGGTATGACACCTCTGCGCCTGCTGTAGGAAGTGCTGAGATGATAGGAAGTTTTCTGAATGCATTGTGTCTCCTCTGGCTAATTGTTTGGTTGGGCAATAACTATCCACCGTTTTTTGAGGCTCATGGTTCTTTGATTTTTTGCTGATCATTTTCAACGTTTAATGTGTGGTTGAAAGCGCTCAATCTCCTTGTACATTTTGATGTACAACACTTGCGTATTTACTTCACTATGGAGCTTACACACTAACGAAAAAATTGCCCCTGCTACATGAGTGCAAGTTGAGCTCGAAACCGAATGCTTCTGCATCTGCTCGTAGAATCAATGAAGCCTGGGATGAAGGCACGGTTGCAGAGAGGACTGTTCGAGAGCGTTTGTTGATTACGCATTTGTTGTTTTTGTTTGGTTTCTGTGAGTAAAATGGAAAAGGCGGATGATTATTGCTCAGCCTAATATTTCATGAGTTTGGTAGATTTTGGGCTTATTTTGTTGTATTTTTACACCGAAGTATGTGAAAAAGTTCTAAGTATGAAAATGTGTTTCAGTTTGAGCACAGAGTGCTGTGGTCGAGCATCCTCAGCGGTTTGATGATTATCGCTTCGATGGTTTTCGCGACACTCACCGTTCGTCTTGTGGAAAGCCGTCAAATCATACTGATTTCGGTTTGTAGCCTCTACAAAAGTAAAAGTGTGAAGGGTTTGGCTGCTGTGGCTTTTGGGAATGAAGAATGCGTTAGACTTCCTTTGAAAGCTAAGGTGGCATTTGAACGCGATTGCCCTCTCCATTTACTCGCTTGGGTAGCCGATATTGATGTCAGTGTTGCTCATCTCTTGGATGAGTTGGGTGTACTTGACCGTTTCTGGACAGCTGCGAAATTTGATGCCAAGCTATGCCTTTGTCCAACACCCCAAAAGTTGATTAATTTTTTCATATAATTCTTACTTTTGGTTTCTCCTTTGCGTGGATGCGACTCGATTTCAGATTTGTCCCGTTGTACTCGGGTGCGACCAGTGAGTGGCGCTTCTTTCCCCTTATCACCTATGACCTTATTGTTTAGCCTATGGTTGGAGAAAGAGTGTATTTTTCTAATTTTTGGGAGATCTTGGTCGGTTGCGAAAGTGAGATAAGGTGGAAATTTTGAAAAATGGAGCGGAAGAAAGAACAAGACTCTAATCAGTATCTCAACCTTTCCATTGCTCCCTTCTCGACGTTTTTCTCGTCTTTTTGGTTGAACTGAGGCTTTCTTTTTCCTGTTAATCTATCTTTTGAGTTATATCACAGTGTCGAAGGTGGATGTTGTGTCCCCTTCCTTTCGACTTGAAATCAATTTTAATGGTTTTTGAGAAGCCTGATTTTTTCAGATACTTGCCATCATTTCCGTCGCTGGACTGTACATCGGTTTACCACTTGTTGCTTATCGACGAAGGGATATCATATTTGCCACAGGTTCGTGTAAACGATCCTAACTGGAGTATTTTTTGGGATTCAAAATGACTTTCAAAAATGCTTGACTTGGATCAGAATTTGCTGGGAATCTCCTGGATCTTACCGATAACTGAAAAACATGGAATTCAGTGATCAGGAAGATGCATAGTTATTGGCGAAATATCTTGCCGCTGCCGATAATTGAACTCGAGCCGCTTGCTTACCGCGCAGACTGCTACTATTTCGCCATCAGAAGCAAGATTCTTCAAAAGGGTGTCCCCCAAGAGGCCCGTCGCGCGGCGAAGGAAGAGACGCAGATGCGGCAAAGGACGAGTCGCAGCGCGTGCTGTGCGATATGAGACGTAGTATGGTACACTCTATTTAACCTGACGCCTAACCGCTACAGTATGCGCTGCGACTCGTCCTTTGCCGCGTCTGCGTCTCTTCCTTCGCCGCGCGACGGGCCTCTTGGGGGACACCCCAAAAAGTGAGTAGAGTCGAAGCTAATGTGGGTATGCCATAGGTGGAAGATTGTGAACACATGGTTCGACCCCACCCCATTGCGCTGTTAGTGGTGTTGGAGCGCTTCCTCACGTGTTCCCATCAATGAGGTCTCCAATTAGCCCCGCCTCCCACACAGAGCCTTCTAGTGTCCTTAGCTCAGTTTACAATCGTTTCGCTATTGTTATCTCTTCTAAAGAAATTGAAATTCTACGAAATATTACAGTACAACTGGTGCTTTGTTTCATCATTGTCCTGATCTCCTACTGCCAACGAGCATTCGAAGCAAACGAGAAGAACTCGAGTAATGTGTCCCTCGTTCCCAGCACTTCAGGAAGGCGATCTCAACAGGTTTCTGGTTTTTTTCATATACCTTTTACTGTCGTTTTTTATAGGCAATTTACCACGTATGAATCGATCTCAAGTGCAAAAACACAGATGAGTGTCATACTACAGATCATTCTTCGACATTTTTGTGATTGAAACGCTATACAGTATTGTCCTTTTATCTACTTCCGAGCAGGGGCAACTCTGGCCTGTGGCCAGTTTGGAAAAAATTTACTATCGCACCCTCTTGATATGTTCCCTTCCCCCACCACCACTACCCAGTTGAGGGGGATCACCTACGAATACAGCCTTTCCCTACGTTCCTCCAAACACCATTCTAGCAATCATGGCTGTTTCTACAGTTTGATTGAGACTAGCCGACACACTCCAGCTCCCCCAGAACAGATGTCATTCAGGTGAAGGTAAATAAATCCAAGAACTGGGTAATGTTCGAGCTGTTCTATTTACGTTTCTTTCGCGAAGGCTCAGCCAATCGTCAAAAAATCCCGTCAACAATCCCTCTCTCGCTACAACGTCCCTTTTAATTCAAACCTTAATGCAAACCCCCTTTTGAACTTAGTCAACCTTCAGTTGACGTCGACCAATGCACTCTTCGTTCGATCGACGGACGACACGGATTTACCCTCGATTACCTCGCGCAATGGTCTGCCCTGTTTCGCTTCGGACAAGAAGCAACAGCAACAAGCCAGGATGATCTATACCTTATGCGGCGAAAAAGGACGTGAAAAAATGCAGATGAGCCTAGTCGAGATTCATATGAAGTGTCGCTGAAGCCAAAAGTGACCTTTGAAAGCCGCTATGAGGAGTTGGGTAGGTGCCAATTTTGGTCCCTCCGCCCTTTGATCGACACGCCCATTGCCAGCCAGTGGTGGTAGCCTAATGGCTAGTTCAAAACGCCAGAGTTAGTGGAGCAGTGGAGCAAGCAAGCTCGCAAAATTCGCCGGCCCCGCCCTTCCTTACTTCAAGAGTGGGGGGAAAATGCTAATGCGGGCGACGGACTTTTGGCTCGTCGGTCTGGCACGCGGCAAATTGCGCGGCGAGCGGCGCGGCGATCCGGACGCTTCGCAGGAACTCAACACGTCAAAGCGTGTGAAGATTGCGGATAAAATCTGCAAGGTTCTGCAATTCGAAATACGTCTGAACGCCTGGAATTTTGAGGACAGTGGTGGTTGTAACAGTAGGAAGAGATGAGAAGGAACTAGCATAGTGCTGTTCGGCAATCAGGGCGCTCATGTGTTGGGGGCATGTTCTATTGGGGGGGGGGGGGGGGGGAGGGGAGGGGAGTGTGAGCCAATTACTGTGTTTGGAACCGAGCCTTAGGGAGGAGAAGGGATTCTGGGGTAATTTGTGTTCTCTCTGGCGTTCCTCCCCTCTGCTGGGAGTTCGTTTCGAATGTTTCTCCTTGGGACATGAACGCCTCGATCAGCAGAACATATATAGTTGACATTAAATACCTCAACAAAAACACCCAAATTTATTGACTCTTTTTGCTTTGATGGTAGTAGTGACATTTCCATGAAGGTCCTCACTCATATCCTTGCGCTGAAACCTCCTCACCGATACTGCTGCTTCAAATCTCCGCGAGCGGAAACATTTTCAAACAGCAGAATCATGCGGAGTTTATCCGCAATCTGCACACGGTTTGACGTGTTGAATTCTACCCGAAGCACCCGCGGAGCCTTGTCTCGTCCAGATCGCCGCGCGTGCCGCCGCGCAACTTGCCGCGTGCCAGTCCGGACGAGCCAAAGTCCCGCACCCAATGACTAATGAGCTTCAGCTGTTCGCTTGCGGTTCTTGGTCCTTTTTTTATTTTTGGTCAGCCAATCCGGCACCCCACCAATTTGATCTAGGGTTGTTGTTTTAAATTTGAATCAATTTTTTAGTTACATCCTTATTGGGTGGATGGCTCAGTGTATCGGCCTAACGCTCAGAAACCTTACGATGATTATCACTTGGCTGCAACAATGGCGCAGC